TAAGGGTATTAGTGTGGTGCTAAATACTAAGTCTGAATTCTGATTTCCCCTGGATGTTTGGTGTGTGTTACAGTGTGCATGGTGGAGAGTGTGTTTGTGTGGTATGAACATGTGTATGGTGCATGTAAGAATCAGTTCATGAGAATGTGAATGTTAGGGCAAGTATATATGAGCATGTAGGAGTGTTTGTGTGTTTAGATAGTGTGTGAGGTGTTGCATGTGTGTGAGTGTGAGTGTGTGTCTGAGGTGGTGGGGAGAGCAGTGAGAGCCAGGGGCCTCCTGTAGGATTGGAGAGGTTGAGAGGGGAGATGGGCTGAACCACTCTCTCACCACAGTGACTCACCAGGAGACGGGGCTACACCAACTTCCTTGGTGTGGAGGCAGCAAAAGCCATGGCTGTGGGCTCCTCCAAGGAGGCATAGGCGATGCTGCAGGCTGGCCTTGTCCTCTACCCTGTGAGACTGATGGATGTACCCTCATCTTGGTTGGTGGACCTTGAGTGTCAGTGAGGGAAGTTCACTTGCCTGTGGACCTGCGTCCTCTCCTGACCCTCATGTTTCTAGACCATGAGTTCTGCATCTGTGTTTTGTATCCAAGTACAGATGTGCTGTGATTCTCTTCTATGCCTTAGTTTTTTCATCTGTAACTGGGCTAGTTATCCAGGTGACCATTTAACCAGGTTGATAGAAAGTGATCCTTGTGACACACTAAAAGATCATGGAACCCATGGATAAGCCTGACTGAGAATGACACCAAGAATACACCTTGTTTCATTGCATGCTCTGCCAAAGACCTTGACCAAAGTTTCTATCTATCCCGAGGAGTCTGAGAGAGTTGACCAACTGCACAGCTGCTAAAGGGTAAAGCACCTTTGGTGGGTAGTGGCCATTCTGACCCAGAAGCTCCTGCCTGCAACAGCTGTGATTTATGACTGTGGAGCCACTTGCTATATAAGGCCTTCAGTCACCTGTCCCATCCATCCCCAGGACCTACCTTTTGCAGACTTATCTGAAATAGACCCAGAAGGTAAGGGGCTGGGCCAGGCTATGGGAGTTGCAGGGATAAGCTGAACTAAGCTGAACTATGAGAAGGGAATTCAGGGTTGTCTGTGTTCCAGGGTGTGTCTAGCTTCTCTCAAAGCACTCAGAATAGGAAGACTGGAGGGGAGAGAGCATGGGTGAGCTTTGCTCTGTGTATGTGATACCCTGTGAGGCTTGATTTCTTTTTATGGGGTGCCCCAGGGGGTTTGCTCTCTGTGTGTATGTAAGAGTGTGTGTTACCCTGTGCAGTATGCTCAGTTTGTGGTGCTGTGTCCTTTTTGCAGCCTCTCAGAGCTCGGATTTAAGAGTGAGTGTGGTAGAATCCTCTGAAACTGATCAGAAAATCTAAAAAATAGAATGACCTAGATCTCAAAGATCTTTGAGACTTTACCAAAGAGTGTAGGGTGCCACTTGCCCTCCTTTTCTATCCAGGACCCCTTGCCCAACCTTGCTGCTCTCTTTCTTCCACAGAGGTGTGAGCAGGTCTTACCATCTCCAGACTCTGTTCTCTGGGTCTTGACCTCTTCAGACCTCTGTTATTTGCCTCTAAAAATGAGGCCACTCATCAGGTTTATACCCTGAATCTCAGTCAACCTGTGCACTTAAATCCTTCTCACTCACAGGCTGAGCGACAGTACTCAGGAGATCCCAGCCCTCTACCTCTCTTCCTGTTGGGAGTTGAGTAAGCTGGGGGATGCAGGGCTCACTGCTCACCATGTCTGCCACCAGCTCCAAAGCAGACATAATAAATTTTCCTCCTTAGGGCCGTTAGATAACAGATGGGTCCATCTGTTTCCTTGGTTGAACTAATTTCCCTTTTTTCACTGACCACCTTGCACGAGGGATCACATACAGAAGTGTATGTGTGCACATGTGTAAGTGGTGTGCATGAAGTGTGTGTGGTGTGAGTGTGATGTCTGTGCAGTGTATGAGGTGTGTAGAATTATATGTGTGCCATGTCTGAGCTTGGTTTGAGCCTTTAGTATGGGGTATATACTGCAGGGATGTGTGTGTACGGGGTGCACATATGTAATATACACATGTGGTATGTGTGCAGCATGTGATGTATGTGTTGTGTGTGGCATGTATGGTGTGTGTGGAATGTTTGTGAGTGTAGCCTCCTATGCTATATGAGGCACATATAGCATGTAGCGTGTTGTGGGCTGTGTCCACACCATGTGTATGTGTGTTCTGTGTGTATATTATGTGGGAGGTGAGCTACAGTTCATAGCAACTATTGTGGCTGGACCCAGAGTTGGGAAGACGGGGAATACAACTATGGCTTTGGCTTATAAGCTGACAGGCTTGGGCAGCTTTCACCCCTCCACCTGTAGGTTTGTTTTTTGTGGAGGGAGCAGCACCTGTACAGCGGCATGGTACAGGGGACTTCCTGCAAGGAAGGAAATGCTCCATACCTCTTGTGGCCACTGCAGCACCATGACAATGTGTGACTGTGGGGGCCTGGACTATGGCAGGTGACTGCTTCCTTTCATCTAGCTTCAATAAATCTAGACTTAGATAGTCATACATGATCAAGGCTACCCTTTATAAGATTAATGAGCTAATGATCAGGAAGGACTTTGTGGACTGCCAGATACCTCTTCTTGTTGCTTTGATACTCAGATGAGCAAATTGAAATTTTGGGAGATCTTATTCAGGATCTCTCTGAACACATTTAAATCTTAGTGATTAGATGATTTGAAGGTACAGAGAGATTGATCAGAGTTTCTGGATCAGTCTTTCAGGTCAAGTGTGCTCAGACCCCAAACTCATGGCCAAGAGTGTTGGAGGCAGTATGGAATCGTTTTTAGGGTTCTGGATCAACCCCAATCTAGCACGTGTCAGGAGTGTGCCCTAGATGTTGATTGCATTGCTTAACCTCTCTGGGACTCAGCTTCTCACATTAAATGAGGGGCCATTAGCTAACAGATGACCTAAAATGGAATAAGTTAGCTGTCAAAGATCTTTGAGATTTTCCCAAGGAGTATAGAAATGCTACTTGTCCTTTTCTATTAAGGAACCCCTTGCCTAGTCCCCCAGTCACTGAGATTATTAGCAGATATTATAAAATTATGAGCAGATATTAAAAATAATACCTGCGTGTGATGGTAGTGATATGAATGATATGAATTAACACACAGAGACACTAAACACATGAAGGAGCCATAAGTGCATAATGAAATGATGTGAGCATAGTGAGATACCAGTTAGAGGATGGGTTGTATGCCCTTGGAGAGGAGAATCCAACTTTCTTCTTGATCCCCACTCCTGGTGACACTGTCTGCCCACCCTGTACCTGAAGTGGCTCCTCAGGAAATGCTCCTGGCTGTGTTTCCTATCTGTATGTAGACACTGGAGGCATCAGGACTGGGGAACCCCAGATCAGTACAGGTGAAGAGGGGGAAGGGTCTCTGTCATACTCCTGTGCTCCCATCTGAGCTTGCTTACCCTATCCCAGGCAGCCCAGTAACCAATATTATGTTTCTTATCAAATATTTATGTTTCTTATCAAAGATTTATTTACTGATGCATATAAAACAGGGTGGGACAGGCCAGAGGTGTGGGGGGTGGGGTGAAAGTATTCACCAGAGACAGTGGAACAGGTGGATCTACTGAAATGCTCTTCTGAGGGGAGCAGCAGGTGAGACAGCAGAAGTCTCTCGGCCATGTGGATCAGCTCCCTCGCTGGGGATGGAGCACAGGTGGAGGTGCCCTTATCAGTGTGATTATACCGGACTATGTGCCTGAGCAGCACTCTGAGCCCTGACCTGTCTTCTTTGATGTCGAGGACCTTGACCAGCAAGGCCGGAGAGTCGGAGCCCCAGGGCCGGTGAACAAAGAAAACAGTCACACGTGTGTATCAGAACAGAGAGAGAGAGAGAGTTTATTTTGTCTTTATCTGGTTTATATAAAATACAAGAGGTGGGGGATGCAGAAGTCGGGAAGGGAGAAAGCCAATGGACACTAGACATGTAGCAGTGCTTGATAACATGGTTCTCACGAGGGACAAAAATGGGCGAGAATGGAGCAGTGTTAGATAATAGGTGGGTGAGAGAAGAAAGAGGAGAAAGAAAAGGTGGGGGCAGGGAGTTCTTCCCGCATGCCTTTTACAACCTGGATGTTTTTCTCTATCCGGACTCCATTTCACCTTTTTATGGCTGCTGACAGACGCCAGATGCTGGCCTCGGTCCCCAACACTTTGACTCTTAGGTTTGAGTTTCTGTGTGGTCCTCATCCTCCAGAGACTTCACCTCCAGAGCCATGAAGGGCCTCCTCCTTGCTGGTGCCCTCAAGTATTCACTGTCACTACCGTAGGTGAGGCAAGCCACATGCCCACTTTGGGGAAGACTATTTTCCCCACCTCACCAGTTTTGCATTGGGGTTCTTTCATGTGGTCTCTCATATTAAGCTGAGGAAATCTGAGACCCCCCCAGGGGTCCTCTCTGTTCTGTCTCAAGGTTGTGTCTTCCTTCTGGGAATTGGTGTATAACAGGGAAAACAATTGATGGTGTCTCTATCTCACAGTCTTCTATTTGGGAGACTCCAGAAGGGATGACATTCTGATATCATTTTTTAAAATTAATCAATCAATTAATTAATTTTAAGATTTATTTATTCATACAGAACTGGGGTACAGGCCAGAGATGTGGAGGGTGAGAGGATTCACCAGGGACAGAGTGGGGAGCAGAACAGGCAGATCGCCAAGGTACACTGCTGAGGGGAGCAGTGGGCGGGTCAGGAGCTGTCTTCCGCGCCATGTGGATCTCCTCTGGGGCAGGCGGGGATTGAACTCATGCGGAAGTGGCTTAATCTTCTTAGTGCAGTGCTTTAACCCGCTGTGCCACCAGGGAGGGCCCATTCTGATATTCTTAATCCAGAAGTGAGTGTGGTGCTTTGCCCAGAGCACACTCTATAAATGTTTCCTAAATGTTGGCAATGCCTGCCATCTTGTCTTTCCAGATTCCTTGAGCTGTGTGCAATGTGATTCACTGATGAATTCCTGTGTTAACAGCAGCACCACTGAATGTTCTGATACAGCTGTCAGCTGTACCAGTTTTTTGATCAACTTCTCTCTAGGTGAGCCTGGGTGTGTGCACCTCATCAGTTTCCACTATGCAGGAACTGAAGAGGGTGGTGAGCAGGAAAGGAACATTAAGGTGCCCCAGACTGTGCAAGGAGAAGGTATGGTGAAGATGCCCTGATGGGAGACACAGCAAGCAGGAGTCAGAGCAGAAAATGGGAGCAGAGCCAGACAAGTAGACAAACCCATGTGGCTCCTCTGAATTCCTATCCCTGCCTCATTCTAGACCCCTGTTAGTGCACAATGAGAGAAATATGCCATTAAATCACACAGCATGTAATTTTCTCTGGATTGTTCCTTTCTTCTATTTTTCTGGCCCCATCCTCGCCTTCTCTCCTTCTATGGTATTTCCTGTTCCAAATCCAGAGTACTTTTGTTTAAGCATCTTTCAGGGAGATGGCACAGTAATAATCATCATTTTATTCTCAGAGCTTCAGATTTCCTGTTAACTTTTTATTATGGACACTTTTCAATATACACAAAACAATTATGAGTATTTGTTGTCAGTCATTGTGTCAACAATTATCAATATTTTGCTACTTGTCTTTACCATAATACACTAAAGTAAACCTAAATGTCATGTCATTTCAATAAGAAACATTTCACAGCTAATCCTGGATAAGGATATTTTTCTTTATTTTAGATACTTACACATTATTATAATTATTATCATAATTATATCATAATTATTTGTAATTCTTTAAGTTCTCTTAAAGGCAGCCCATCTTAAGAGTGCCCCAATAGTTTCAAAATAAAGTTTGTTGTTAAAATAATTTATATTTCTGATTAATTTGAAATTATCAACTCGTGGCTCCCACTACTCTAAAACACTTTATAGTATGCATTTCCTATGAAGAAGACTATTCTCCTGCAGAACACCACTGTTACAATCAAATTAAAATTAACATAAATTTTAAATCCAAACACTCTATTATTGTTCACCAGTTGATGCAGTAATATTCTCTGTAGGAAAAGGGAGAATATTTGCAAGCCATAAAGGATGCAGAATACACAAAGAAATCTACAAACTTAACAATAACAAATAAGCAAGTAATTATTTTTTAAATGAATAATTTGAAAAGACATGTCACCAAAAAGGATATACTGATCACAGACAAAGATATAAAAAAGATGCCCGGCATCCTTAATCATTAGGAAAATGCATATCAAAACCATCTCACTTTCCATTTTAGAAAAGCTAAGTTTTTTTTTTTTTCCTAAGCTGACTAAATCACATGTTGTGGGGACATTGAGCAGCTGGAATCATCATGTGTTGATGGTAGAACACAAAATGGTTCATCCATTTTGGAAGATAGTACCACAATTTATTATAGAGTTAAAATATACTTATGATATGACCTAGCAATCCAGTGTGAAGTGTTTACACAAGAAAAAATGGCAAAAGAATGAAGAAGCTGTTAATATTCCTAAAATGGAATACTTAGAATTAACTATTGATACTCCCAACAACTCAGTATCTGGTTCCATTTGTGTGCTTTTCTGGAATAAGCAAAGATACTGCATTATAGTTGATGCACTGGAATTTGGATCCAAACAAAACATGCATTTTTACTGTTAGTTCTGTTATGTCTAACTTTGATTTTCTTTGTAACATCTATCGTTGTTGTTTGTTCAATGCCTTTGAGCTGTTGGAGAAATTAGACCATTTGTCCTGCCCTTGTTCCATGTTCTGGCTTTAGCTGATTACTTCCTTGCAGTGTCATTTTACCACTTCACCCATTCCTGGTATTTCCTGTATACTAGGCCTGTGCTATTCAGCAGAACATTTTTCAATGTTGCAAATGTCCATAATGATACATTTGATAAAGTAGCCACAAGTCCTATTCATTACTTGAAATATGATCAGTATGACTGAAAAAATGAATTTGACTACCATATTGGATGGCTCTAGTCTAGAAGCTTGACTGGATTCATTCCCGGTTCAACATCATATTGCATACAGGCCTATCTCATATGTGTGGCAATTTTTTAGAGATGCTAAGACTAATTGGTGGGCTCTGGGTCTGGGGATCTTGGTCCAAACCACCCATCTCCAGGCCCTTCCCAGTCTTTTACCTAGAACTTAATCTGCATCTGTTAATCATCTTCTGAAGGAAGGACCTAAGTTATAGATGAGAAATTTTCTTTTTTTCAGGAAAACCTCCCTCTTAAAGTAGTTTCTAAAATCATAGTGAACCAGGTTGTATTTTTTGCTCTTGAATGAAACAGTTGCTATTTTGGGTCCCTGCCCTCCCCCAAATCTCTGATTTTGGAATTGACAATCTATGTTTGCCTTTGTGTAAATGGAAACACCACTTGTACCAGTATAAGGCCTGTTATGAGAAGAATTGCACCAATAATAGCGACAAGCATGAGGCTTTCACCCTCCATGTGTCTGATGGAGAACGCTTCCATTTTGAGCCAGTGCTGCCAAGGAAAACAGTGCAATGATACCCACAATGCCCTAGGTTGGTGATAGTCATGTGTTTCCTGTGTCTTCCCATCCTATCCTGTCTTTTGTCAACTGTTGTCCTCATCCTAGGGTGGACATCTGAAGTCCAGTGTCTTAGTGCACATCTTGGGTAACATGAACAGTTGACTTACTTGAAAAATAAGTTGGAAGAATCATGATTATCCCTTTCTCAGTAAAACCAGAAATTATAACGGTCCAAGCTGTGTGAAAGAGTTTTAGAAATTCATCAGTAGTTCTCCAACTTTGTCACCTAAGCTCCTTTATTATGATTCTAAGTCTTAAAAACTATTAAGGACCCCAAAGTAAGTCTTTGTGGACTTTATCAGTATTTACGGTATTAGCAATTAAATCTAAGACATTTTTGAAAATCTTTATTAGTTTATTAAAAATAATTACATGTTACAGTAATAATTTTCTTATATATAGATAAGAATATTTTCCAAACAACAAAAAATAGCCAGAAAAGTAGTTTTCGTAGACATTTTCAGACACCTTTTAGATTCTGGTTTAATAAAAGACAATTGGATTTTCAGATTTTTTAGTACATTTAGTATGTTGAAATGTCAAATGTCATGTAAACTATGGAAAACTGGTTGTTCATGAGAGAAAAAGAGCAAACGAGGCAAATAATATCTTAATATTATCATGAAAATTATTTTGATCCTGTGGACTCTCTGAAACAGACTTGGGAATCCCCAGTTAGAGAACTGTTGGTCTAGACTAAAGTCTTTTTTTTGAACAGAAGAAAATGTGACCATAAAGCCAGGTAAGTGGTTATAGTTGTAGAACACAGTTCATTAATAGAAGAGTTCAGTACTTTTTTTTTTCTCATAATGTTAAGAAATGACCTGTTCTCATTTGTTTAGGTTAATATTAATAGTCACATTGCTGTTAACTAACATTCAGAATGGCTAACATAAATATTAGCTATTATGTTGGTTTTAGCTCAAAATATTTTTATTTCTTTCTCAACCCAAAACTCTCATGACCATGAAGACAGGATGCTCTGTAAGGGCAAGTATGTGGTCACTCTTTGAAAAGAACATGGAGATTGGATGGCTGGTTTCTTCAAGGCATGATCTGAAATTCCTCTACATGCTATTTTTCCATTCTTAGGATCTCTATGATCTTTGTCTCATCCTGACTGTTCTCTCAAGTCAGTATTATATTCTGTGTGAGAACACTGTTCTGAGAAAGTGACTCTTATTCTACCCAGATTCTCCAGTGGAAAATGTGTCCAGTAATATAATATGCCAAGCATGTTCTGGATCTAATGAAAGTTCCTGCAATGTGAAATCCAGGAAATGTTATAAAGATGAACAATGTGTTGATCTAGTTGCAGAATTTAAGAATGGTATGTCTTGGATTTCCAGTTCCTTTTTTTTGGTACTTAAGTTGAAAATATATCAAATCTTGGGTCTTAAGTTCTTGGTTAACAAAAAAATACTAGGGGAGGTTAGTAGGATAAGGAGATATGATTGTCTTTAAGACAACAAATCTGTTAATGTAGTATTGAGATGTTTGTTGTTTTGTCATCCCTCATTTAGAGCCATTCCTCCTTGGCTGTTTCTTGAAATCGGTGCTCCTATGGGTTGTAATCAAGCTTCTGTTGGTGTATCATGTCATTCCTGGCACTTACTTGATATTTACTAGTTTTTGGGTGTGTGTGTACATTTTCTTTTGTACCTCTTCATCCCTGCCCATCATCGAGAGGTACTAGCTTATAACATGAGTCACCTAGAAGGAAAAATCAAACTGGAATTTGATATACAAACAATTGTTCTTTTCTAAAAAAAGCAACTTGATATTAGCCATTATAAAATACAAAACTAATAAATCTATTATTTAAATATTCAAGCACATTTGCCTTTATGTCATAATGAAACAATAATTTAATAATAAATTAATATTATTTACTAAATTTATTAGATTATGTAAATTTCTGTTAAAGAGTAATCTCTAGATACCAAGGTTAAATGTGAAATAGTTCTTTTTCTTTCTGATGAACAGTTCATTTTAGAGTTTAGGGACTTGGATTACTTGCACCCTGAGATTCTGGTCCCCACTCAGCTAAGTCTCTTGACAGCAGGTAGAGAGGGGAGGGAGGAAAGCAAGAGAGATTTTCAAGGTAGGTGTCCAAGTGAATACATAGTTCCCTCCCACATTCTATTGGTAGGGACCAGCCTTGAGGGAGAGTGAGAATGTGTCCTCGAGGAGACCCAGCAGAAAAGGAAGAGGGGTGAAGTTAACATGAATATTACTTTCTGCCACCAACTCTGAATAATACGAGTTTAAAAGTAGTAACACCTTGGTATAATTTGATTGCAGTATTGTTAAGTGGCTAGTATAGTATCACAAACCAATGTTTAATTGTAATCACATATTTCTTAGTGGGGCCAAGTATCACATGTATCCTGAACTTTTCATTTTACTTTTTTAAAAAGTAGACATTATTTTTAGAGTAGTTTTTTATTCACAGTACATTGGAGAGGCAGGTATACAGATTGCCAATATTTCCAGCCCCATTCCATGTACATAGCCTCCTCCTCCTCAGTATGCCACACTAGAATGTTTCCAGTTACAGCTGATGAATCTTCCTTGGCAGGTCATCTTCACCCAGAGTCCACAGTCTACATTAAGTTTCACTCTTTATGTTGTACATTCTCTGGGTTTGGCTAGCTGCATACTGACCATTATCCCCCACTATAGTATCATACAGAGTAGCTTCCCTGCCTGAAATATCTGTGCTTTGTCCACTTCATCCTTAACCCTTGGCAGCCTTTTGCTTTCTTCATAGTTTATCTCTAACCAGAATGTCATATAACTGAGTGTAGCCTTTCTTTTCATAGTGGTTTTTGGCTTGTTTTTTTTTTAACTTAGTAATATACATTTCAGGATTTTTTTAAATATATATTTTAAAAGATTTATTTATTTATGCATACAGAATTGAGGTACAGGCCAGAGGCACAGGAGTGGCGAGAAGACTCG